GGTGGATCAGAGGATATATATATATATATTCTGTATAATTATTGATGTCTGTCACTACTGTTACCGCTTCATCAAGTCAGAACTAAGTATTTATTTCTATTAATGCAGACATTTCCTAGACAGCTCCATAAACTACCTTATTCTACTTAAAACTTGACTATGAAATACCCTTCAACCTATATGTAGTATTAAAGATCAGTTAAATTTCTAACATTATCATGTATCAAACAGTATATAAGAGTATGCATCTTACTTTTTATTACCTTAAAAACAAAAATTAAAAGTATTTTAAATTTTACAGGAATGTGGGACACTTTCATGTTGGTCTAGCAGAATTTCAATGTCCTAAAAGTTTTGAAAAATTCTCTAATGTGAAATTATTTTTATATAATATGGATGAGGTTAATGAACAGTTTTTAAAAGATAAGCAGCATTCCTATCAAAGTAATTTGTTCACATTATGCAAATCAAATGATTTATTCACCAGGATTAAGATTATTATCATATAGCATACTTTAACACTTAGGTTACTACTAGAATTACCAGGTTTGCCATTAATAAAGTTTCTAGGGACTGGTTTAACTTCAAGCACATTAAACACAGTTTACATTAACATTAGGTAAGCTGTGTGTGTATGGCTTCATGACTTCTATGTTGTTCTTGTTACTAAAATATCCAATCTTTATTTTTCACTTTCAGATATTATTGGGATTTTCCTTTCTTGCAATGTGTAATGTTTGTATGTGAATGTTTCAAATTATGTCAAGTTAAGCAATTTTTACATTAAGCACTTTAATTTAAACAGTTCTTATTTCACCTTTAAGTAGGTACATGATAAAATGTTAAACTTAGTTAAAAATAGGTCACAAAGTCTGCACTACTATTAGTTTTACTGTTAAACTATTTTAAGTATACTGTTCAAATCCATGTTGATTCCTTCTGTTGCAACATTGGTAACAATAAATATTTTCACTGAAAACAAATGTTTTGGAATGCATGAGAACTTGTTACAATATCAAAAGAACGACAATAAATTAGTTAACTGTTCAATTCATTCTAACTTAGAACGTACTTACTTAAGAAAATATCGTTGACCTGAAGAAGTTCTTGCCATTTCCCAGCCTGATGGCAGAGGAACATCATCAATCATGTTGTCATAGCTGTGTTGTCTTAAATGTTGATGTTGCTGCCCCGAATTCTGGTTATAGGTCTGTTCAAGACTTGCTGGAGAGGAATTTGCACGAGGATGATGTACTTGAAGAGCATTATTAATATTAGTTGAAATAGAATGCTGAGCTTGAACTTGAAGCTGAGGTGAAGGTGGAGCACCTGACACTGGGCTCACACAAGTTGGAGAAAAGGTTGCATCACAACTGGAATCTCGACTGTGAGACGCAGATTTTGTTTCTGGCTGTTGAAAAAAAGACGGTGGCAAATTACGAAGTCTCATGGGAACAGTCCTTCGACTGAGCTGCACCTGACTGTCTTTTGGTTGTAGCACCGCTTTGAACAGGTCGTCCAAGTTCGTTTCACTATCCCTGCGGATACGGACAATTTGATTGGGTCCTTTTTGTTCTATGACATCCCTAGCTTGGGACATTTTGGTTAGCAAAGGTTATTAATGTATATAGTTTATCGTTTCACAAAACTGTTACCGCGATCGAATATATCGTAAAAGTTTCTATACAATTATATATAACGTAGAATACCACTCCACCTCCAACCTAACTTATCGCGATACTACATACAGATTTTTCAGGTTCGCCTATACGTCAACATAGAACGAACAGGACACTCAATGACTTCCTACGAGATGAAAAATAGTTCTGTAAACAAATACGAAATCGTTCTAAGCCTTCATTTCACGCGTGATGATTTCTTGGTAGTCACCTATTCGTTGTAACTAGAATCGCAAAGAAACAAAATATGTAATTGAGCACTAAGGAAAATAGAATGTTGTACTAATTACGGCATTGTATGTTTATATTTTATAATAATAATATATTATATGCATAAAATTGCGATTCTTGGTGAATTGTTATAAAATTGAATTTAAAATGCATATTGTTAACGTTGTTCTTTCGTTCGACGGGTTCTTTTCGATTATTTGGAAACATAAAACGAGATCCAATCGACAATAATAACAAATTAATTCATTTCTTCTTTAAGGTTTGCTACAGTTACGCTCACTCATATTCATAAGACAAACTTTTCAAAATAAACTCCGAAACTACTGTAGGCTTAATACATTAACAACGTTTAATAGAAACGTACGTAAGAAACTTACCAGCTTACCAATTTGCTGACGAACACACTAACTAATTCTCAGTGATCTAAATAACTTTACTCCATCAACAGTTCTTTCCTCAGTCAACAACTAATCGATTATAGTACTTACGCTGAATTCTCACTTTTAGAAAATGTTCTACAAAGTACAGAAAGTTTCTGGATTCTATGAATACTTCTATAAACGTTCTAGGTCTAGTATCGTCATTTTGATTAGCAGCTCTCTCTGTAGAAAACAACAGAATCATACCAATTAAAATATAGCTTATAACAATATAAGAAAATGTTATTTTAATCGACATGAGCCTTTTTAGCTTTTTAGTGTTCAAGTGGTTTTACCTATACTTTCAATGGTTTGCAAATATTTTCTACAACACTTATCTTTAAAAAATGTGTTTCTTGTAACAACTCCTAAAATAACTTCTTTTACTTTGAGAAACAACAATTTGTTAGTAATCTTTTGTTATAACGTTTTACAAATTTAATCTATAAATGTCAAATTTGATGTTAATTTTGATTAAGTCTAATTTTTATTGATAAAAGTTTAAGCCATGTAAATGCGTCAAACTGATCAGAAATTATCTATAATTAGAGTAGACGAATGGACAGTTGCCTATACTGGATCTGTGAATTGTTCAGCACCTTTCTCCCCTCGAGACGGATCTCCGCTGAATTATTCAGGTTGATAACAAAGTATAATTCTGAGATATTAGAGGTGTTGATGTTGTAAGAAACCTCGTATCCTTTCTATTACGATAGCATCATTGCATGACTGTAACATACAGACACCATCCTCCGGGTCAGTGAATAACGATGTAACTTATATTATAGGGCCTGGCATAACCTGATGGTTAGGGTACTGTTGCGTATCTGTTTGTTTGTTAACTTCAGCGATACAACTCCTTTCTTAATTAAAACTAGTTTATTACTTCTCGATACAACTTTGTAATACACAGAATTTCCACAATCACTTTAAACTCAACAACCTTTATAACACACGCAATAAATCACAGTGATTCACCCACTTTGCTTACGGTGTCTACTGTTCTACTGTTCGCTTGACTCAGTTATCTATCTCTTCAATCGCGCTGGTTTTTCTCGCCAGGCTTATATACTAAAAAAGAGGGCGCCTCCAACAAACTAGAGTTGCCAGGAAAATTCATGATCCTTCGATGAACTACAGCGCGCATGCTCATGTCGTCGCGTGACTTCCGTTGTCGTAACAGTACTTAACTTTCGCCCTGCGAGTCGTGAGTTCGAATCATGTCACCGATCATTCTCACCTTTCAGCTGTGGAGGCGTTATAATGTAACAGCCAATTCATCCCACTTTTTGTTGGTGAAAGATAGTTCAAGAGATGGCGGTGAGTCGTATTGGCTAGCTGTCTTTCCCCTAGTCTATCGCTTCAAAATTAGTGACGGCTATTGCAGATAGCCCTCGAATAGCTTTGCGCGATATTCTAAAAACAAACAAGCTATATTATATTTCGTCATTCTGTCATTTCTTTATTTGTTTGAGGAAAATAAAGGGTTTCTCAACTTATTTGAATTTAATAATAATAATATGTATCTGTACAACATCTACACTAATAATTGGAAGTATGAATATTTTTATATAAATTTGCCTAAACGTTTTACGCCCAATGGAAAAGGACCTCATGAAATTAGTTGCCTGAAACAGAAGGTTTAAAAACTGAGTTTGTTTCAGTTTCATTAATAATATGTTTTCAATAAACCATTATATATATTAATTTATTTTTCAATACATCTATGAGTGATTAGCCTCAAAATAATTACCTTTAAAGACAAGCACATAATAATGCGATGTCAGTAGTGAGACTGAAAATCTAGTACAAGCTTGTGAAGCTATGTTGAGATTGAAAGCATTTTAAACACCTCTTAGCACTGGCATGCGAAGTCAGAAATAAATATGAAAAGAAAGAATAATCTAAATTAGGAAGGTATCGCAAGAATGACTTTAAGAATATCGGTAGAATATTAAACTACAAACTCAAGAGATGTTATAGAATCACAAAATCAAAAACCTTACAAAATGTGAGTAAAATGTTGCAAAAAATGTAGATAGATTTGGAAGAGATTGACTGAAATAACAATGTGTTACTTGTTTGTTTGCTATTAAGCACAAAGCTACATAATTGGCTATTTGTGTTGTGCCCAATAGACCTGGATACAACAGGCTCTCTCCCAATGGCTGGTAACAGTAATCCATATGTGCTGTTTGTTAATTATTACACAAACAAAAGTACAGTGGCTTATTCATCCGCTGGCATTTTGGCATTGTCCTTAACTAATAACTTAGTTGAACAGTGAATAGAATGTTTCAGATAAGCTGCAAAAATCCATGCAGATCAAGAAGCAATCTTTAAAAGTTTGATGACTTTTGCAGAATATTATCCGTGGTTAATAGGCGTACTTCTCCGTATCATCTCTGTTTGGATGAAAAGGATATACAAACTGTCAAGTGTGTGCTTATAAAGTTTGTAAATCCTGGATGAACTGTATGGGATGAACACTTGTCATATATTACAGTAACACATTAAGCGTTTAGGACCAAGAGACTATTTCCATTAAGTTATTGTTCGGACATAAAGTTCACCTCTCAGTGGAGATGATGTATCATTAAGTTCATAGGGCAGATGTGTCTCAATGTCCACAGGACGATGTTGAGTGGTTAAGGTCTGCTTCAGATGGTATGCATATGAATTTGTACACTAGATGGGTAATGTGGTCATACATAGTATATTATGAGAATATAGTGAAGAAACGCCAGTTTGAGCAGAGGAGTAGGTTTGGCTGATATGTACCTTTGGTGCAGCAGCAGCTTAGATTGAACTGGTGTTAATTTAATCACCTTCTCTTATAAATCAACCTATAAGCTTCATAATTTATGTGAAAATATTGTGAATCCATACACCATTTATAAGCCTCTAGTGAACTGTCCAGTGCAGTAGTTAGGTGGAAGGGACTAATAAATGAAAAGATAATGAGAGCACTGTGTCTTTCTAAACCCAAATGATTAAAAGAAAGATGTAGTAACTAATTTTCTGACTGTTCACAATGAGTCAGAGAAAGATGAGCTGATAGTAGAACAGTTCACTTGTCTTAGAAGTCAGACACATGGGCAACATTAACTTCCACCCAACTCGACATGGTACAGACTGAAACCATCTAGTTGGCAGTAATGCTTTGAAATCTGAAAATCAAGGAAAAAGGATGATAGGGTGCAGAGCAGGTCACTTGAAATACACTCTTAGGCATTACATCTAGGAAAACTTGTGTTCTTGGATTCAGCAACCAGAACAGTAATAAGTGAAATGGCCTGTAACGATCACTATGGCACGTAATACATCTAAAAACTGAAATAACTCACAGTCCTTGATTTCTGAACACTCAGATGAATTACTACGATGAACAAATAGTATTTGTTTTTTGAAGCAGTGTAAGCTAATAACCAGCTTTTCACCTGTTTCATTTCATTGTACTCACAAACTTTCTTTTTTGGTCTCTTTATAAACTCAATCATACATGTAGTGCAACAAACATGAACATGAGGCATTACTACACATGGATATTACAATTTACACGTGTAGAAGAACATTACATATTAATGCTTCTATCTATAGTATATATATGACAGATCAATGAATGATCATGATATTCACAAACATGGCCTCGCCTTCTACTATCATATTATCACCTATGAGCTGGAAAATACAATTATAATGATATCACAATAATCACAAGGAAACTCCAGCGACATCAATATTTTTATACTGAAATTCACACAATGTACATCATTACTTGTGTTGCCCATCACAGTATATAATATATAGCAACACAGACTGATGCAGGATAAGAACAGTAATAGTAAGTACTAAGTACATTTATTATCAAAGATAACTACAAACGTCTGAAATTATACTGATCGCTATTGTGCTGTCATCTGTGGGTTGCAAAAGAAAACACTACTGTGAAAATCAAGAGAGAAATACAAAGAATCAATTTCCAATTAAAATAGGATTTTCCACTATACTTTATTATTCAGTTCAGTTCACCCATTTTCCTCGTGAAAGATGTAAGCAGGTATTTCATACTCATGGAATGTCTGTGTGTGTATATATTCGAGATAAAATCACATACACAAGTCGTCTCATGTGGTGTCTACTGTCAAGTCAAAGAAATGTGTACAGATCGAAGATTTAGAACATCCGAAGCAAGAACATCCCTTTACTTAATGAAATTGGAAAACAATGGAATATAGATCAATTTGGGGTACCAGGACCATCCAGAAATGTACATGCAACAAGTCATAACAAAACCATGGTAACAAAAGTGCGGCGAATTGTCACAGCCAAGAATTCAGATCACAAAGGTTAGTGGAAAAAGCTGTCCACGTGCCATCATCCAGCACACAACATAATCAAGAAAGATCTGCATCTGAAAAAGCGACACAAGACATGAGTTAAGAAATTGTTTTCCCGATATATCCATTCAACCTTCGCATACTTCAAGCAACTGGAAAATGAAACGTGACAGTTATTCATTTTTTTAAGTCATTGGACACAACATCTGTGGATTTCTGTGCAATTGGACTATTGAAATGGACGATTATGGAAAGCCTTCAGAAAGGAGGGATGTGATTTGAACTTGACAGACTTATGACGGAGATGTTTGCATAGAAAACTACGCTGGAGGGTTATTTACAAGATGACGGTTGTTAGATAAAGTATGACCGGACGTTGCAACATAGACTGTAACGATGTGGTAAGACTTCAAATTGTATCTAAAAACCTTAATGAAAGCACACTACTCAGATCTATTAATCATTGAAGCACAGTCTTATAATTTGCCAAAAAAAATTTTTTTAATTTTCTCGCTAACTTTTTCACACTCTCAATAACAGCTTCGAGTACTAAAACGTTATCAAAAGTAAAGTGTAAAATTACAACTTTAATATTTATTCCTTAAATAGATAATCAATTTTAGGTATTTATTGTTCAGACCTAGCATGTTTTGGTGGTTAGGACACTTGACTCGTAACCTATGAGTCGCGGGTTGGAATCCCGTCACCGAACATTCTCACCCTTTCAGTCGTGGGGGCGTTATAACGTGATGGGCACTCCCATTATTCATCACTAAAAGAGTAGCCGAAGAATTAGCGATGGGTAGTGTTGGCTAGTTGCCTTCC